CGCCTCACAATCTATATATCATGTATTATATACTTCATCTAGGTTATACACACATATATAATCTCGTACTTCAATAGTGTACTTCAATTAAAATATTGTGAACACAAATAAAAAACTTTGCTCCCCTGAAACAACATCGAAAATAAAGTGAAACAAATAAAATCAAATGTAAATAAATAAAGAAACGTGACAAAATTTGACATAAACAATTTTACAACGTATACGTACTTGCGCGGCCGACCATTTGCACAGCTCGTACGCCTTTGCGAAACGTAGCCACTGCGATGCAAAGCGACAAAGAGAAAGAATTAGGTTATAAATAAGATTATTTTACATCATTAATGCACAACATTTTCGCAATCGCACACATACAATTAATAGATCCTAAATTACATTAATTTCACATCATTATTTGCTTGGCACGGTCTCGACTACGTTGCTCAGCATAAGGGAACTGACCTGCGATACTTGGATTAATGAAAATTTGTTGTGTAGTTTGTCATTAGTTACAAATTTCATTAAACCAATTTCAACAAAGTTATGAATATTAAAGTCATTAAATATATAGTGCAATAGTAATTTATTATTCATTTTCTGAAATACCTAGAAAAATGGCATTAATACCTCTGCCCTTTTGTATGTTGTGTATTATAGTAGTGTAAATTCTTAGGTAGTTCATTTTTGGAGTTGGATGTTATAGTAGTAACCCACGAAATAAAGTATTTTGCTTTGGAATAATTATGAGTAAACCAAATTTCTGTTTAAATCCTACTTGGATATAAATCCAAACCAACAAATTTTTAATGCTACTACCAACAATGTTGAAGTAGAGAAGTCTGGGTACGGTTATGCCAGGTTATGGTAGTGAGGTAGTGACAGCCAATATAATAGGTAAACCATATTGATTTTGAGAAAGTGTCCAAGAAAAGAAAGATGTAGTATGTTTGTTTGAACAAGTTCCCATTATTGCTTTCATTCAGTGCCCTACATTAACATGATCTGTAGACAGCATTGCTTTTAAAGAGTCAAATCGTTTTGGTTCGATTTCTCCTTTAGTTTATTTTAACGATGATTTGTCTCCAAAAGTGTTCTTTGGTTATGGTTGTGACATATTTTTTATGTGATTTTCGAATGAAAGGCTGAACATGTAAAGTAAAATCTAACTGAACTATAATACAAAATAAAAAACAACACAAGAGAAAGATCCTGTCTGACTTGTGAAAGCTCATATTCTGAAAGTAGGGTGGCATAGGATGGATTAAAGGCCAAAAGACATGTGGTTCCTGGTTCCACGTAAAATGCTAAGGTGATAGTCTAGACACTATTGCAATTGCTACCATGACAAGATCTGAGCATATTGATACATAGTTACTGTAATATTTTAGCTGATTATTTAAACTGATAAATATTAGTTAACTGATTTTACAGAAAAAATTATAATAAATCTAATTTGATGGTAATTTATTAATTATAAGAAGAAAGTGATCAGCTAGTTCAGTTTATTTCTTGTTAACTTTGTTTAAAAAAATATTTTTTTTATATTATAATACATTAAAAAGCATTGTGATTGCCTAAATCATTATGTTGTGTTGCTATCATTATGTTGTGTTGATAATAAAAGTAGTTTCGGTGTTGTATAGCTATTGATCTTTTAACCTAATTTTATGTTTGTCACAACCGTCCTGGGGGCGTGAAACTGATTTGATTTCATGACTTATTAATTGTTTTGGAAGATTGTATTCCGTATATTATGTAGTGTTCCCGCGTAGACAAATATTCAAATTACCATTTAATTTACTTTTTTCCCAGTTAACTGGTGAATTAACAAAATTATTGCTGATCAAGGAAAAGTAGTACCCAGTCTCCACTACAGTATTTAGAAAAATAAGTACTTTATTATCAATTTTTTCATTATGATCCTTTATTTAGTAGTGGTAGAAAATTTTAATAACTAAGCGCTTGAAATTTATAATAAAAATAACTCTAATGATTGATAACAAAAAATCTGATACTAATAAAAACTGGCACACTAATAATAAATAATGAAGAGAAAGTTTTGCTGCAAAGAATTTTTAGCATTTTATAAAAAAAAACAGAAGAAATTGTAATTATAAGAAGTTTGGTAAGAATATTTAGTTATTTAGCCTTCATTTAAACTTTTTTTGGTAAAAGTTTTACTCACATTACTCCAAAGATTATGTACTTTATTTCTGGGAATGTAGAGTCTCGTGGTATAAGAGTACTGTGTGTATATTTTGTAATCAAAACATTATTAAAATTAATTTTTTTACATAGATCAAATTTATAAAATTTATATATAAAATTGCAAAATATGATTCCGCTTTTCTAGAACTTTTTGATAAAGGATAGCCTATTTATTAAATCAACCATATCGATTATAATGACAAAATATGATATAAATTCAACATTTGGTACAAAACATTATCTAGTATAATGATATAAAATTATTGTACAACTGCATAGGCGAGCGCAGTGTATGGAGTGAACAGATTTTGCAGCGATATTTTATTCATGACTTTTGCGAATAAAATTAGATTATAAATTATGCATTTGAACACAACATACGCCGAAAGGTATTGTTATTATAATATATGATTATATAAGCGCACATTTTCTAATACATGATTATATACGAATAAGCCCACTGATTTACATCAAAATTACGCTTCTGAAGCGCATTACAAAAATGAATAAGCGTAGGTAGAAAAATTTGCTAAAGCATATGCAATACAAAAAATGTAAAAATCAAATTAATATTTGATTACATATTTTCAGTTTTCGCCAGATTACATTTGAATTGTAATTGTTGTTAATGAAAAAAATGTAAATGTAAAATAGGGTTTATGTAATTGCGTCATAAAGCAAGAAATTCATTAAATTTTACATCCAACAATTAATTTAGTTAATATAAAATTATTAAACTCAAAAATTGAATATTTAAAATTTAGTTCTGACGTAATTCCTAATAGTCTACTTTTTTTTAAAATTGTATTTGCACACAATAAGCTACAAGCACGCAGCTTTATTTATTGTAAGCTTTCAAAAATACGTTAAGCCCACAAACTAGACAATGCCTCCAAAAATATATGCCTGCGTTAATAAGCGTTTCCAAAAATACATATTATGTATGAATGTTGTTACGAAACACAAAATCTAAGATTAATTAATGAAAAATGATCATGTTTTTTCGAAATAACATTTAGCTTCAGCTGTGGCGTGTTATTGGTTGTATAATGATTGGTATGTGTAAGAAGGTTGTCTATCTTAACCCTTTCCATTCGGCAATTGATATGTATTTTGCCCCCGGAGCGGCGGCATCCGAGTGGTAAGGGTTAATAATGTTTTCATATACTGAGTAAAATGAAAAAATTTACACTTAAATCAATTCAGCTATGATATTTTGTTGTTGTTGTGTGATTCTACGCAATGCTAAGTTATTTATATTTACAAAAATGAATATTTTTTCTACAAAGCAATATACTATCATTAAGATTTTTTTGCTTCAACAGCAATCAGAATTGCTTAGAATTACTTGCCCTAAAAGCTGTTTGTTTTAAGACTTAAGGGGGTCTCCTACCTTGTGGCCTTGTTTTTGATACTGTTTTTTGAGAATGAATCGTAGGGAATCCAATAATGCAATCAAAGTGCTGTTTTTTGTATTTAACTTTTTCATTTCTATACTTTTAACATAAATTTTACCGTCTCTTATTTCACGGTAATTTGACTTTGAAATGTCCCTTACTAAAAATGTACACCAAAACGGTTGCCACGATTTTGCCCAAAAATTCAAAAACCAAAAGATTTAACCTGAAACAAAAAAGAAAATGATTTAGTTTTTTATGACTTTGGCCATCGCTGGATACGAGTTTATTAGATTTTGTTCATTTCAATGATTTTTACAGCTATTCTTGATCTTGAAAGCGTAGATTTTTTTGTTTGTTCATCATATCGTAAAATTGTTTAATTTCCCAAATTTCTCGTGTCAAAAGATAGCCAAAGTCCTAAAAACACTAAATCATTTTGTTTTTTTGTTACAGGCGACTTTCCTGAGCTAAATCGTGTCAACCGTATTTTTCGTGAGGAACATTTCAAAGTCAATTTACGGTCAAATGAAAGACAGTAAAAATTCAGTAAAATGTATGTTAAAAGTATATAAATGAACAAGTTAAATGCAAAAAACCGCACGCTGATTGCATTATTGGTTTCCCTACGATTCACTCTAAAAAACAGTATCAAAAACGAGGCCATTTTCGGGAAGATTCCTTAATCTAATGTTTGATGAAGGACTACCAATCATCATTAAGATGAATTGCATATCACTGATACCCAATTGTGATACTGGTGTGTTACTAATTGCGATAATACCCAATTAAGTTTAAGAACCACTTTGCCACTTCAGGAATAATCGATTTTTAAACTTGTAACAAATTTTTTTCAATTGTTTATTTTTTCAAAAAAAAATCGCTTTTTATTCAGAACTATTAGATCCAATTGATATTAGACAACTTGATGTCAATCTATGCAGAGTGATGCGAAACGCCAAGAAAAATTAGCAAGTCGGATTTTCTAGCCAATAGACAATCTTCTCCTTTGGCAAGTTAACATAACGAAGGAATAACCAACGTTCAATTGATTAACAAAAAAATAATTCCAACGTGAAAAAAAACAACATTCAATTGATTTACTAGAAAATTAATTCCAATCACTTACAATATAAAAGATTAAAAATTATCATTTTAAAAATAACTGCTGTATGGAAGCAAGTATGGCGCTAATAAAGGATAGATTCCATCTCGCAGTTGAAATATTCATCTCATTTGCTTATTTAAATAGTTTGAAACTACTCCATGAATTGTGCAATGAATTATCCATACTCAGTATTATGAACCCAATTAGGTAGACAACCATCATAAATAATAAAATAAAATGTAGTGTAAATGTGGTGTAAATTTGGTAATTGTTGAGTGGTGTTTCCATACCATGTAGATAGGCATGTCTGGCAGAGTTCAGGCCTTGTTTCACCATTCCTGTCTGCATCATTATCATGCCGACATCTGAAAACGGGCCAACAGAAAATGTGTTCGGGACGAACAGAAAATAAAATAAAACACACGTAATTATAAAAATAGAAAATAAAATGGCACACGGACACACGTGTTAGATCTAATATAATGACACGTTGATAATAAGTGATGCGATAACACACGCTGAAATATCAAAAATTCATTACTGGAAAAATACATGTTTTGGATGTGAGTGATCTTTAAGTTTTTATTATATGTGGCACGTTTGCCTTTGACACGCGAAATTATATTTGTACTGCTAATGATGAATTTTTTATTTACTGCAAGTACCATTGTCATGACACTGTTCGCAAATGCCACATTGATACTATTTTTTTAAATATTAAACACATGTATCATTAACGGTCTTAAAAGTACTTTATAATGATTAGCTGCCGGTAGAAGACATAAATAATTAATTCATATTTTTTAGTGAAAAAGCACAAACGATTCTCTGACGTAAAAATTATTTTGGATTGCTAATGAAAATTTTATTTAAAATTCAAAAACAATTATTTTTTTTTATATACTAGCAAATGGTTTTAGCAAATATATTTACTTTATAGTAAGTTACGTTTTTAGACATTCACGTGCCTGAGCAAAATTGTATAATTTTATGAAACACTAAAAATAGATTGGTATTATATATTATCCAAGTAATTTTTTGCATTTTCTTATTGGATTCGCTTTAATTTCAATTCCCTAATATTTATTTTTTAAAATCTTATTATTGTGAAACGTAGCATTGCATTAGCAAGGAATAATTACGATTAAAATGGATGTTAGTAATAAATAAGCAAATATTTTTACACAATATAAAAATATACAGCAAGTTGTTATATGTAAAAGCGTTAGTACCAGAGCTGTAATAAAAATGTATATTAGCCAACATTTTTTACACATATATACAGAGACGCATTTTATAAATATTATATTTATAAAAATATCGTTTCGATTCTAAATCCGTCTCTGTGCAAGCTTATATTATTAGTTACAATTTATAGCAAAAGACGATATTAAAATAGCGTTCGAAAAATAAATTGCAAAGCTTTTAACCATTGCTTAATTGTATTTACAACAGCTTATTTGCAAGATTTATTTATCATAAGTTTGTTCCTACATAAAACATACTTGAAATTAAGTATTAATATGTTAGAACAAGTCTTATTTATTAAATAAAAATGAAAATATTACGTTCGAACTCTAGACAACGACTAATTTATAAAGTTTTTTAAATAGCTTGTTATAAACCCATTATGTTTTACCACCATGGAATATTTATTTCAATATTTATTAAAATAATATATATTTGTTAGTGTAATATGCTGATCGGATAGCATGTCTGTTTTAAGTTTTGTAAGTATAATTGAAATATCATGCAAATATAAAAAGTTTAGAAGAAAATGTGCACATATGAAAGAAGGGGATATATAAAAAGTTGTGATAAAAGTAGAATCAGTAAAACCAATTATATCATTCTCCAGGAATCAGTAACCAATGCTTATTTGAAAAAAATGTTCATCTATAATATTTGATTTTTTCAAATAGGCTTTTGGTGCTAAAACATTTTGTGTATTAACAAAATGTTGTTCTAAACTGTTTTCAAAATGCAAACAGTGTATGAGAAGGTAAACATTTCAGTTGGTCATAGTCATGCTATCACAATCCAAATTAAGCACCGTATATTTAAAATATAAAAATTAATTAAATTTTCAAAGTGAAACTTTGTAAAGATTTTACAAAATAAGTAACAAAATCTAAATTACCATGTGGGTTCAAATGACAAACCAGTGGTTTCCAACCTTTTTGTACCGCGCACCCCCGTTTGCAAAAAAAGTGTTGCTCTTCCCTTAATTTTTTTAGAATTTAATTTCATAAATGTTCAATTATAATTTAATTTAATTTAAAAATACAAAATAAATATCATGTAAAAATATACATAAATATAATTATTTATTCGTTAATTTTTTTTATTACATTTCAAAATTTTCGGTTTATTTTAGAAAAAAGGATTATATTATGGAAACAACCGCAAGTCCCCTTTGCAATAGTCTTGCGCCTCTCAGAGGACTCGCCCCACAGTTTGAAAACCACGAAATTAAACTTTTTATAGAATTAATTGAGAAACTATGTGTACAATAGTTAGAAATGATGAAATTTAACTAAAAAAATATTTTTATTTTTATTTTAACCGAAAAAGTAATATGTACAAATGAAGAACGTTTTGTGTGTTAGAAAATCAAAGAATAGTAATAATTGCAACCATAAATAATTATGAGATTTACAAAATAATAAAAATAAGGCCAAAGCTTGTATTTATATGACCCTGACAAAGTTTCACTTATCATTTTCATAAATTATTATTTATGATATTTGTTTTGCTGACCAATGCTACAAAATCGTTAATATAAAGTTAAATACGCGGTGCTGAGTTAAGCTAATGCGATTTGAATATCACCAAAGCCGATTTTTACAGTATGGATTAGAAGAAAATTGGTTATTTAAATTTTTTAATAATCATACAAAATGTATAGAACATTTTAGAAAATAAGAAATCAATATTGAAATTAAAAACCCTCATTTTGGTTCATGAAAAACCAAATACAAAAAATAATAATTTAATAGTAACCAGGTTTGTCAAGTTCGAAAATAGTTAAAAAAATCAAAATTGAAAAATAATTTCAGGAAAATATAAGTATGATAAACAAGTGTTCCAAACATTTTGTACAATCAAGATATATCAGGCGACAGTAGATTCAAGCACGTTTTTTTCAATTCATTGTTCTGACTGGCTTATATCATATCACAAACATTTGATACTTTGAAAAGAAACAATCTTACTAAATGTAAGTGTATATAGAAAATATTTTTGTTAATTTGTGATATAACAGAAGCCATTGTCAGACACAGATGTTGTCGGATGCAGCAGTTACCTAAATCGCCCCCATATTTAGTCCTCTGCTGTACCACCACTGGCGAAACAGAGAAATGTTAAATTTGCTCTCGTAATATGAGGGAGGACAAAAATATAATCGGCTCATTTAGATAATTCAATAAATTATTAATTATTTTATGCTCAAATTTGAAAAGTGTTTTCAAACTTGGCACAAAATCTGGAGCCGAAATGAATGAATAAAAATATTACAGACAAACCCATCTGTAGTCAATCTATATTATAAACACATTATTAAATTGGTAATTTTATAATAATATTTAGGATTAAACATGCATTATAATTAAGGCTTAAATTGGTTGTAATTTTAGATGAAAATTAATAAACATTATTTAAGAATAATTTTTATGCGTGGTAATTGATAAATGTAAAATAATCTCCGAAAAACAAGAAACATATGCTGTTATTAACATATTTGAACTTTTTTTTGAAACTTAGTTGTGGGATAGATAAATTTAATTGTTACCAAAGTTAGTGCTAAAATATATAACACAACATTATAGATTAGTGCTAATTTTAATGCATGTAAAATGTTAGTTCAGAGAAAGATATGATAAAACATAGACTTCTCATCAGATATAATGTAGGAGTGTAAATTAATAATTAAACCAAAAATATAGAACATAAAAATGCACAGAACAAACTCACAGTTTTTGCATTTGCACTTCTTGATCAATGTCTCGTCCCTGATGTCGTCATGGCACGCCTTGCAGTAAAACCAAGCTCTGAAAAAAATAAAAAATATTACATTAAATTATGATGTTAAATAAAATAATTTAATAGTCAGTAGTCAGTAGACAGTATAGTTTTCCGAATCTCCAAAACAGATTCTCTCATAAATAATATATTTCAGACTTATTTAGTTGTTACTCATGGACAACATTCGTTAGCAAACATTTACTTCAACAATTACTGGCTTGCTCCATGAGATTTTATATGCCTATCATGAGAATTATTTCGTGGAAAAAAATATTAAACAAAAATCTTACATGCGTGTCATGGAAATTAATCAAAAGGATAGCTATACTGACTTAATTACTTTCATATTTAATTTTTCCTAAAATTGCATTAATTATGACTACATTAATTTCAACATTAAATAAAAAAAATGCTCAAAAATTGCATGTATAAATATATATGAAAATACTTTTTAAAATTTTGGAAACTTAACACTAGTACCAGGATAATGGCAATTGTACTGATTCAGTATAATCACCACCAAAGAAAGAACTTTTAAAACCTTTCTCGTCACAAAATAAATTTGTTAATATTTTATTCAAGAATATGGGTTAGTATTAATTTTGTTTTATTAATTAAATTTGATTTTGTTAATTAAATTTATCAAGTTTAAATAAATGCTTTAAAACAGGGCTTCTTAAACGATGGGTCGAGACCCAAATTTGCGGGGAAACATTCTGGTGTCGCGAGTGATTTTAATGTCAAATATTTATATCGTTTTATAACATCACTTGTTATTTGTATGTTCTCAATAAATTCTTAAACTATATAGTTTTATATGCATATGTATAATGTTACAAATATATAAATTATTTAAAAATATTAATTTATTTTTTTATATCAGCCGGGTCGCCAAGAAACTCGCAATTGTAAATGGGGTCCCGAAGGACAAAAGTTTAGAAGCCTTGCTTTAGAGCATAAGACATAATTTTAGTTTACATATATTCCCTCTGAATTATAATAAAAGTGAATAAATTTACTGAATCACTGTTTCACCAAACTTATTTATTATTATTAAAAATTTCATACATGTCTATGAAACAGTGATTCAGAGAATACATTTTATTTCATTATTATTGATATAATGTTTTAAAAAATATATAATATTCGTTACATAAAATTTTAAGAGAGACTAAAGCTGGGGTTGTCTAACAAACCGAATAGCGGATAAAACTACTCTTCCCGCATAAAGTGTGTTAAATTACTTACTCGTACACCAGTTTATCCATAATCGAACAATGTTTGATTTTTGTTATATATGATAAACGTAAAATATAATCAATAATCCCATGCAGTATCTTAAACAAAAGCAAAAATGTAAAAAAATCAAATTTAACTTCGAAAAATATCATTCATCAGAGTAATATTTTTAGCATGTTTTCGTTAAACTAATTAGTTATTTTTAAAAATTAAATATACAAATACAAGGTGATTTATTACCTTTTGACTTCGTCTGCTGATTGAGCTATAAAGAATCCTTGGGTGTTGGCCTGAATTTTGGCACCTCGGGGATTAATAGAAATCTTGCTATCATTTCCTTCTTCGCCGCCTTTGATCTCAATCGCCAGAAGAAGCAGTTTCAGTTTTGTGAAACACAATCTATTTGGTAATAATATAAATTAAATATATAATTTTATCAGAAATCAATTCTGAATAATGATACCGTTAGAGCTCAACAATTGATTTTGTAAATTGATATTGAAAATTTATTATTAAAACACTATATAGTTAAAAAACATGCTAATAAACGTTTAAAAATATCTAGATTGGTTTTTGAATGAGTTATTATATTACATCTGAATTGTTATTGATATTAATTATTACACTTATAGTTTTTATACGCAAAAATTTAAATATATAAAATTCGTCAAAATATTCATGCAAATAATATTAGAGTAAAGAAGATAGCAACATCAGATAAATATTTTAAAATGTTTTTTTTTCTGATATATAGGTTTTATAATTCTGATATGAAACGCGCAAGTTACATACATACTCCTAACATTACAGTTAAAATTTTTGGTGATTATCCAAAACGCAATTTTTCTTCTCTATTCTACATTTAAATCTGGTATCTGTTTTGAAGAGAAAAAAACACAATAGATATTGTTCCTTGTCTGCTTGTCACTATTGATAAAATCAATCGTTTATTAAACTAAAAATCTCTATGAATATTAATTACTTTAGAGGTGTAAAAAATACATGTACATGTCAGAATATAACCTGTGGCTTTTCTATCCAGTTGCTACCTGCATTACTATTATTTTTCTTTTATAAATCACTTTATAAATAACTAAGATTTGTTAACTATGAATTATGATCATAAATTATTACTATTATAATATTATTTAAAGACGCTATGTGAGTATAAATTTGTCTAATGTAAATCAAACGGTTGCAGAAATGTTGGGTGGTTGTTTTACAACTAATTGTACGCTATAATACGATGTTCTATGGAATTGAGCTAATTCTCAATGTTAATGATGTCGAAGAAGTGCTTAGAATCGAATAAAATTGTATAATGAGAATATATTAAAATATTATTACATAGGAAATATGACAATGAGCGCTTGATGTGAATGTTTAAAGCGGTGATACTCATGCATTTTTTATATGTACACAAATATTTACAAAATCTACACTACTGGTTTAATTTAATTGTATAATTTAAGTTATAGTTATAGCAATTAATTTTAGGTTATAATAAAAATTACCTATTAAAGTGGAACCATCTATATATTTCAGTATACTTTAAAATTATTGTTTTTTTAATTACAAATTTATGTAATAGAAGTAATTGATAAAACTTATGTGTTGTGAAGCTCAATTGAGATATGCATAGACAATTAATAAAAGAGAAAATAAATTAACAAAATTATTTTATTTTTTCTTGCTATTAAAAGAACGAATTTAAAATTTCATCTTTTCATTCTTACGAAAGATTGACTGAAACCAAAGTACTTTTTCTGTATGTGAAAATAGATATTCAACAAAAATGTAATAAATGTAGTTAAAAATTTTTCAAACATGTGAAAATTTTAAATAAATTTTAGAGTTGCTGAGAAATATCACAAAAATGTATGTGTAATATGTTCCGTTTTCATAAAATGATCTTAACCATTTATTACTAATTTAGTAATAGTAGTATCAATAAAAATGTTTAAGCATCACTTTAACAATAAAAAAGTACAAATGTTGAGACGCAATACTTGAGAAAATAATTATTACACATAGTATTTGTAATAAACAGTAAGAATAAGTAACCTTTTAGAATTTAATTGTAATTCTAGATACAATGATGAGAAAAATAATTGGTTAATTAAAATTCAAAATTTAAATGAAAAAAGACTTGACTAGCATGCATTATAACGATTTAACAATCTATTTTATTTCATCAATAACAATTTTATTATTTAAAAATTATTTTTGTGTTATTATTAAATTATAAATTATTATTGTGTTAAAATATCCTAACATTGTTAAATCGTTATAATTTTTTTAATAGTGTACATATATGAGTTTATTAAATATTGCTATTATTTTTTTTGAGTGTTGTTAATCAAACATGTAAGTTCATAAAAGTGTATATTATACTTCTATTATGTCATTACTATTTACAAACATGCTTTGATTACGAAACACTATATAATAAAGCTTTTTTCAATTATAATAATTTAAAATTTTTTTAATGCCAACAAAATGCATATGTTAAATTAATTAGAATTTTTGAGGGAATATTAAAAAAAACTTTATTACTTAATAGAACAATACCTATTGTTAAACATTTCTAAAAAAAAAACTGGACAATACACTGTGAACTCCGTGTCCGCAATACAACTATAGAAAAAGTTGATTAGTTAAATATATTATTCATCATGCAATGTGCACATCTAGAATTTGTACAAACGTGTAGAATCAATAAGGAAATTCATTCATTTTTGAGTTTCATTGATTTCATTTATTCTTACAGTTAGCATAGTTAAAAATACAAAATATAAAAATTAATATTTGTAATGATAAGCATGATAAATTCATAAACGTGATACTAAAACAATAAAATATAAGTTCAAAATCAGTTATAAATTTAAAATTTATTTACCTTATTAACTACAAAACATCAATTAATGCATTGTAAAATAACCAATGAAACTCAAAATATATAATCCAAATGCATCAAGACTCTGTGCCGTCTAATCATAAAAAAATTAAACATATTTGGGGTTATTGGTTATAATCAAGATTAGTTACTTGAACCTTCTAATAGCTGTTGTATATCTTAATATTGATTTAAATTCAATTTTAAAGTAAAAAATGTATATAAGTGTTTATTCACAGTGTCTGTTTTATCATAATTCTATTAATTCATTTATTAAAAATAATGAACTCTGATTTATTGTATTTAATAAAAAAAAATATTTGCGTTTAAAAATCTAAATTTCAAATGCAAAAGTTTTAATAAATTTACAAAGAAATCTATATTGAAAACCAAATGTAACAAGAAGTATCATTGTTTTAGCATCATTTGATAAAATATTAATTTTGGGATCAAATAGAAGTAAATATTGTTAAAATATATCGTTCTATAGATGAGGTCAAGAGTCAAGCCATAATTTCGAATACTTAGGCCTACTGACTAAGGATTTAATTTCTAATAACGGTAATTTAAAAGTTGTTATTGAAAATTGTAATAAACAATAATAATTGTATTGAATAATTGTAATAAGATAAATTGTAATAAATTGTAAATAAAGTATAACATCAATATAGGCTAAAATTTATACAGAGAGAGGCCTTTATAAATTTACTCTATTTTATATGTCTATTAATATTTGTAACTTTCAGAATGAGGTATTTAAATTTCTGCAGTTTGCTTGTCTTTTAGTTATATTCTTCGAATTTGGTTATATAATTCGTTAAAATATCATCAATAATTATTAAAAAGAAATTACATACATTTATCTAGGGAACGAATCAAGAAAGATTGATTTGAATAAAATCATTGAACTATAGAGGAATTTTGTACCTAAGATATGAATGTAACTTCATTGCTAACGTTTTCCATTTTATATACATATGTAGTATATTTTGTATTCATATAGTAGGGGAGACTAGGTGAGTTTGTGCCAGGTTACGGTAGTGATAAACGTCATAACAGATTAACTATACTGATTTTGAATTAAGGTCCAAAGGTAGAAAGATATCGTATGTTTGTTCAAACAAGTTTCCATTATTGCATTGAGTTAGCTTTGGCGCTCTACATTAACATGATCTGTAGACCGAATTGCTTTTAAAGACTTAAAGGTAAGTTTTTTTGTGCGATTTTTTAAAATAAAAGCTGTTACTTGTGTACAAATGGATCACTTTGTTTGTTATTTTGCAGTAAGTTAAAGATTAATAGTTAACTACGACAATAATAGTTACTTTAATACAATAATAGTTGCTTTATATTACCTATATATGTTGTGTTGTGACATGTAGAAAAAAATTTAACTTAACTAAAATACGATCAAACTTCTTTGGTTTAATATAAAAAAATCAATGCAAGTTTTGATTTAATCTATTCAGAAATATTTATTGTTCAAAATATTATGTTATACGTTGTTGTTGTTATATTATATTCATGAGCTTTGATAAAATGATTATGTAGCGTTGTGATACATGCAAGTATTTCTGACAATAAAAGTCGTAATAAACAATTTAAATAGCTATTGTTTTTTAACCGATTTTTATGTCACCCGTCTTCGGATGTGGGCGGTTATGACACTCGCCCTTTTCTTGTAGAATTTGATTATATGACTCCATCCATCGTATTTAAGGACAGTATTTTATATTTCCATATAGACAAATGTTCAATTCACTTTTCTCAAACCTAATTAATAATTTAACAAAATTATTGCCAAAAAAAAGTGGCACAACCATACCCAATATCCCCTATACAGTACGAAAGTTATAAAAACAGCCATTAGTCAGTTAATTAACTAATCCCAAGAGGGGGCTTTTGAGGATCTGTAAAATAGTTAAAACGAAGTTGTTTTATAGTCTTACTCGCTGGCTTGCGGGAATGTCATGCCAGTGAATGATGGTGACAAAGTTTCCGTGTACATCTCGCATCCGGTTCCTTGCAAATAGTCATTCTGCCAAGCTTGCGTATCCGGAGACTGAAATTTGCCGTCGAGGCAATGAAAATAATAATAACATGAGATAATTTTAAATCATATAAATAAATAGTAATGAGCTTCTTGCACTGGTCCGGAACGCAGGAATCAAAATGTTGCATCTGGAAGAAATTGCTATAAATAAAGACTTATGGACTAAAACCTATGGTTAATTTACCTGAGTTTTCTGGAGCTTTCTTAACATTTAAAGGTAGGACATAAGGATGGTAAAAAAGGATCTTGGCGAATGGTATTCAAGATTTAAATATATTTGTGAGATTTTTTGTATTTTATCGTCTTCAAAGTAGAACATCACTTAATTTGAAATAAATTTGGTTAGCAATAATGTTTTAATGATGATAGGTGATACTCTTATTTTAATGATGATAGGCGTACGTATACTCTTATAATACACAAGTAAAATGTATGATGGTTCTCAGATAAATAATAAATTAAATCACTTGAACAGTTTACTACGAAGAGAATTTAACAACCTCTTGAATTAGAAATATATCAGAAAAACTTTTATAAAATTATTAAAAGTCGAAGAGCACCAGTAATTCCTAATTCAGTATAATGATAACAATAAAATAAAATAATCAAAAGTATAGTATTAAGATGACTATATTTCTTTAAGTCAAAACCGTGACGGTAACGACGAAGAAAATGTTTTATTATTACTTAAGTATGATTCTAAATAACAAATTTGAGGATTTAACAAAAATCAGTTATTTTTTCTAAATGGATCAATTTTTTTATGCAGAATTAGTGATTTTAATAGGAATTTTATTAATCGATTATATGTTATATTTTTTGATACAACTTTTCTCCAATTTAAGCCTTGTATAATTTTTTTTTTCAATTTTCTTTATAATCATATATTAGCATTTGAGCAAGGCTGTTCAAAAGGTCGTCTTCATAATTTTTGCTAATTTTCGTAAACTTGGACATGAAAGTTTGAAAGTAGTGTAGTGAGAGGTTATTTGAAATCCACGTTTTAAATTTTGTAATTTTCACATTTATAGCGTATTGTTTCATATAAGCATACTCATTGTAAAATAGATATTTGATGAGTATAGAAGATAGATATTTGATGGGCAGTTGTAATTTTATGAGTAAGTTATTGCAATTTTGATTTTGTAAACGTGAAAATGAAAGTTTGAAAGTAGTAATGTGAGAGGCTATTTAAAACCCACCTTTGAAATTTTGCAATTTTTTCATTCATAATGTATTGTGTCATATAAGTATAACGTTTACAATAAATATTTGATGGTTGTAATTTTATTAGCAAGTAGTTGCAAACATCAACTTGAATCTATACTTTTCGTAGATCCGGATCAACAAAAAATCAAATTCCGCTATAATTATTGCTATTAGAAAAACCCGGGACAAAAAGTGAAAATCCGGGGCTGTCCGGCCAAACTGGAACATATCACCTTAATAGTATAAATAATAATATGTGTAATAAATTAAATATAAGATTATAAGAATAAAAAATCTAGCATTTTCATTAATTGATTGAAAAATATTTCAAGTGCATAAATAATTCATTGTTTTTTTAGTTCATATTTTCACAAAAAATCTCACAAATACATAAATAATCTTTAACAATATAACGACCACATACATACTTTACGCATACAGAACACCAATGTGAACATCATGTGAAATCGTGTTCAATATTGATACAACATATATGTTACCACATTTAACATCGACGGGCCACATCGAGGTGGGAAAAACACCGATCCAAAGCAAACGATTCCGTGTTAAAAACTTTATTAATTCATCGAACGAAGAAAATATATCTTTCCAAAACAAGACAATAAATTCGGCCAAGTAATGGCATTTAAGACGATATCCTTTGCTTTGATTGAGGCGAAGACATCAGCTTGACACAGAACTATGACTGATTGTGATGAATGGATGTTGGTGCGGACGAAGAACAAGATAGAGGAAAAAGTGTCGCGGGTTTGAGATGTAATTAAGTTGTCGGTTTCTTTCGAAGAAATATGTGCGCGTTTTTGTATGTCCATTGAGACATGTGGTGGAAAACACTTAAATAAAGATGACAGACGGACGTGCTATGAAGTTTCGTAATACAAATAACGAGTGTGATGTTTTTGATTTGGAGATGTATCGGAGTGTAAGTGATGATGTTTCGTATAACTTAAATATATTTAAAAGTTGAATGATATTAGACAATTGAAGCACTACGCATAATTCGACCTTGGCATTAAAACAAATTCTTTATCTACTCAATTAGCATATATATTTGGATCAGTGAAAAATATCTTACTTATGCAAATTTTATTTGTTTTTTTTTTTTTTAAATATTATCTTATCATTTTGACAACTAGGTAAGTGCGGAGTTTTGTTACTAAATCAGATACATATTTTAAAGGAACTAAATAACTTTATTTTCAAGTACATTATCCATTTTGATCACTGACTTTTGTCATCTTTCAAGCAGCATAATTATCCCAGTTGGGTAAAACTTTTAAACTTAAAAGTGGGTATCCCAGTTGCATAAAACTTTTTTTTAGCTAAAACGGTTTTTATTAGCTAAAATCTGCAACAGGTACAATTTGGACTATCTCCATTATTGAGTTTTTTTAAATTCAAGAAGTTTCTTGAAGATCGAAATTGAAAGTAGTCAGATGGTGTAAGGTTTGGTCTGGACTATATATATATATATATATATATATATATATATTGTGGATGTGGCAAATTATTCCAACAAAGCTTCAATAATTTTTTCCGAGTGGCCAAAGCTATATGGTGTCAAGAATGGAATAAATCACCTTTTCGATTTGCCAATTCAGGCCGCATTTGTTATAAATTATATTGTTATGTTTAATTTCATTATATGTTTAAAGTAAAAAATATCAGAATTGATTGTTTGGTTGGTGATATCAGTTCAAAGTAGGCAATACTTTTTTAATCAACTGCTACTGGACGATTAGTGCATTTTTCATCTTTGGGTGAAAAACACGAGAACTAAGGTTTGTCGGTTTTCAAAAACCGTTTTTTTGGCGAAAATTATGGAATTCGAAAACTGTTTTTTTAGTGAAAAAAGTCGGTTTTCACTGTATAAATAGAAAATGACAAATATAGCCAAATATAAAAGATAGATGAAAGCGTTTTGATTCTTGAAACCATATCGGTTCAATAGCATTTGATATCTTATCAGTCTGCAATGGATCCCAGAAAGGTTTAAAATTAATATATACAATTTAGATTTTTATATCAGTGCATATAATAATTTAAATCAGTGTGACTTCTTCTTGAAGAAATAACTTTCTCTACTCAAACTTAAAAGAAAGAGTTTTAAACTTTAGGATCCGCAAATTAAAGAACAAAAAACTTAGAATTATTATGTCAGGCTTTAAAAACAATTAAGCATAATTTGGCCGCAAATATGAGATTATTTTCTATTTCAGAAAATTTTGTGAGTAAATAGAGTCTAAGTAGCAATTCAAAAGATGTTCTCTGTTCAAAAAAAAAACATTTAGAATGTTTGAAATTAATTAATTAAAATTGCTCGGAACAGACAATACCCAAGTTTAGCTTAATTGTTTTTAAAACTAAAATTGATATTAACAAGTATGTATAATTTGGTCTAATATTTTTTTATTTAATTTAATGATTGTTTTTTGTTTAAAAATGTATTATATTTATTTATTCGAAAACTTTCCTTTCATTATCATAAAAATATTTTCATTCTTATATGTGAAAATGATGCATGAATAACGAATAATTATTTTCAATGTTATTTAATCAAGATAAACTATTCTTTTTTAGTTCTTCTAATTAAAATTAAAATAATTTTGTTTACTATATATAAAATTGAACAATAAATAAATTCAGCCAAATACTGCTCTAAATTACACTAAATTTGCGGATAAATTACAGAATATTCGTGCAAAAATTTATTTTCTTTATAAAATTCGAAAACCGGTTAAAACCAGTTTTTTAGTAAAATTAAAATTCGAAAACCGGTTTTCTGAAATGTCGGTTTTTGTATAAACCCTAACCAGAACGAAACTTGGCAAACCAATTTTGACACTGCCGTTTTTTAAAGGCTTCGTCACCATAAACCGAGCATTTTCTTCGTGAGTTAAAGATGCTTCTTTACATTTGCAGAAATAAAAAAGCAAAATATGACAAAAAAATTGATTTAATTTCACAACTTTCACGGAAAGCCAAACGAAAACTACACTATCGATAAAAAAAACTCTTATTTACAGAGTTGACAGTAGAAGTTGCCTACTATCTAATAATAAAATGTATATTACATTTGGACTCTGTTAGCAAACCTAAAAATTCAATTGAACCACCTAAGAGTAAAAGCCGCACTTACTTAGTTGCCAAGCCTAATATTTATATAATTAAATTTTCGTATATCTGAAAAAAATGCGAAAAAATATGGATATAAGCAACCGATTAAGTAGATTATATAATTAGGTACAAATAGTTATATCAAATCAAAGCTCTTTTGTAAGTTTCATGAAATTGTATGATTACGTATGGTAATCATTTAAGTAACATTTAACTTAAGTTTGCTACTACAAAACGCGAATGTTTTTATGGGTATAGATCATTTTTATCAAAAAAATAGACTACGAAATATTTAATTCAATCACATCTAACTCTATTGTAAAGAATACAAAAATTTAAAAAACTTTTAAGTGCCACTTATATACTTCTAAATACCATTGAAAGCTCATAATATTGGATGACGTTCTTTATTCTGTTTCTAAAGCTACTGTTTTTTGAAAGTAAGATCTCGAATATTAAATTATTACGTGTGCATTGATTAAGATAAGAACTTTTAAGACCTAGTAAACTTTACCTATGTTATATATCTAACTACACGTTAAATTTCTTTGATTAGCGTATAAACATGAATAATAATTTGTCGTTTTAAACTGTGGCGTGTTTGAGGGGGGACTTACTCTGTGGCCTGCGCGAAAGGCATGCCAATGAATGTGGGACTTAGGGTCTCAGTGTACATTTCCATGCCGGTGCCGCGCAGGTAGTCGTTCGTCCAGATCTGCATATCCGGCGACTGCAAACAGGTAAAACACACAGCAGGCCGAATATCGGCCGGGTAAAACGATGAGAAAGTAGCCCATTTTAAATGATTTATAAAAGTTATAAAAGTAAATGAAAGTTGATCTTTAATTTTTACATTATGTATGTATATATAGATGATGATAGTTTTGTCGACGTTGATACGTATTTGAAGTATTTTGCATCCCATCGAATTAAAAAAAGATTAAAATAGACAATTTTTTTATTCGATTAGACGTTTCGACACTTAATGTGTGTCATCATTCAGTAATCAAACCAGAAGAACCACAAAAAAAAATTATGAACAGCGATTGAAACATCATACAATATAGGAGGGCAATATGTGCTCCTTCAATTTTTCTTTTATTAATTATATTAGTTATGACACTCATTTACACAAGTTTAGTGTTCAATAAATTTTATATAATTTGTGATTTTCCTGGTTTGATTACTGAATGATGACACATATTAAGTGTCGAAACGCCTAATAAAATAATATTTTTTTTATTTTAATCTTTTTTTAATACGACGCATTAGCTGTTTTATTCATTTCAATATGTATATATATATATATATATATATATATATATATATATTAGAGCGAGTCGATTTGTATGGGTCAAAAAAAGTCGCTTAAGCACATATGATTTTCGGATACTAGGGATCAAAATAAGATAATTTGCCGAAGAAACCATACCTATAAAATGAATTCTGATGTCCCGTGCACTGACTCAAAAATAAGGGTTAAAATTTGAAAACTTCCATTTTGACCCATTTAGTGTGCCCCAATCGCGTCCAAATGTATGATCCTCCCTCCTGAGAGGTTTTTCAAAATTTGATCAACGCACGGGACATCAGAATTCATTATAGAGGTATGGTTTCTTCAGCAAAGTATCTTATTTTGATCCCCTGTATCCAAAAATCATATGTGCCTAATTGACCGGCTCTAAATACACACCACACACACACACATATATATATATATATATATATATATATATATATATATATATATATATATATATATATATGTTTAATTTGAGTTTAATATTCGGGCGTAACATCAATAAAAATGTTACGCCCGAATATTAAACTCAAATTAAACATATATATCAACATCAAATTCAAGACTATTCAAAAATATATATATATATATATATATATATATATATATAAAATATGTATATACATATAATTGATTTTTATCATTCTAATTAAAGTTTTGTTATTAATACAAATATTATCGGCACTGAACAAAATAATAAAAAATAAACAGTTTACACTCAGAACTTAATGAATCCTATTACGAGGTGACTTTGTATGTGGCAACTCAATGGTTGTCCTACATTGAATTGATCAATTTATCATTAAAAACTTTAATACTGATGACTTTATATTCAAATGCAATACCGGAGAAGGACTTTTTTATTGCAAACATATTGTCATCTATAATTTCAAGTCAAAGCGGATGCCACAACTGCTTAATACCAAGCTGTCTCAGGGCGGTGTTGAATATAATAGGATAAATAACCGCTATATTTCGAGATATACTTTCAAATTATATTTTAGTTTCAATCGTATTTTGTTTGATATATAGGGTAGGGCGGGCACAAAGGTCCTATTTGACTAACTAAGTAATTATACTGCCTAAACCTAATGAACTATACATCACAACACATAACGTGTATCAAACAAACAAATATCTTGTATGTTCAATAAAATTCCAAGCTAATTGGTAATTAAAGAAAATTATTTTAAACTGTTTTCCTAACATTAACTATTTGTGCCTCTTTACCCAATAGGCGGTGTGAAATGGGATAGCCAGGAGGGAAAAACGGATTCAACATTTTATTTTTAATTTTGAAGGAATTTCACGAAAGAATAACTACATGATTCAACCAATGCAAAATATGAATTTCATGGGTACATTTTTTAGAGATAACATTGTATTCTTGATTTGGTATTTTGTAGAAATATTCACCAGAAAGTTTGATATAACTATTTATAGATTTAATAGATCTTTCGTAAATTTACTTTTTTTATCTGAATTTACTATATATTATTGTTTACAACGTAGCAAGTGTAAAGGCTCAATTGGTTCTTTTTACATCATCCAAGTAACAAGTAAGCTATTCTGAAGGTTATATAAAAAACTATTGAATTTAACTTAAGTATACCAATGCATCTTATAAAACATTTAAATAACTTATACCTGAAAGTTATAATAAGGTCTCGTAAACTAAAGAACAGTGCTCACAACCAAAAGAACTAACAACGAAAGAAAAGACATGTCGTGGATTAAAAATCAAGTTGGTTGGGTATTTTCTGCCTCTACTTTCAAATATTACTGTTAGAAATTCTAGTGGACCTTTTTACCCGCGAGATCTTTAAGCCCTGCCCTATTCTATATATAATGTCAACTCATGCAAAACTAAGAAGAAATCGTAATAGCAGTATCCGAGTAGTACTGTTTCTATAAAAACATCACGGCGCAAACAAACCTTGACGGAAGTCCTTAGTTTTATAAACATACAATTGGAGATTTTACATTTGGTGACTAAAAAAATGTTGAAGTATTATGAATCATTGTTTACATTACTCTCCACGAACAGTTCGGAGGATATTTTGAGTGAGCCCAAAAATTCTTATAATCAGAATCTTCTGCTATATACATTCAAACATAAAAAATATTTTTATTAAATTAGCTTTTTTTGCAACGATTTTCCGAGAGCATAAAATCAGATCTAATTCTAAAAAATAGACATAACTCAGCCTGTTAAGAACTACAATGATTCATTATATTATTTATATAAATGTTAATTATATATGATATATGTATATATTCATATTTAGTAATAATAACACCTGAATGTAATATGAAGTAACAATATTTCTGACTGATTATTGCAAGCTTCAAATAAAATGGGCTATTTTATTAATGAACTTATTAAAAAGACATTATTCCTAAATAATGAAACATGTATATGTAGTATATTAAGAATTTTGCTGAAATTAATTTATGCTGATCAAATATTATGCTGTTTAAAAAATTTTGCACATTTTCTATTATGGGAAATTAATCTAAAATGTATGTTAGTTAAAAATATTTAAAAAAAGACATATGGAATATGAAAACTTAGCATCGTGCAAATGCACATCTATAATTAATACATAAAAAAATATGAATTGGAAAATAATTTACTTTGAAATTAATTAAGTTCAAATTTGTGTAAATAAAATAAGCTTAAACACATTACTGTCGATTAGTGTAAATCACAATTTTATATATTTGTTTCATGGTAGAGTTCTAATAGTAATTAAGTAGTAAAATAGAGCCTGGTGTTTGAAACTCACCGTTTTAAAACTTCTCATCGCAAACAAATTGGCCATCATAGTAGAGAATCCTGGTGCCAGGCAACTTTGAGCTATGAAACCCAATTTTAACTCGGCTAAGCAGATCACATCGTCACCTTGTTTCCAATCCCATGATGGAATATTTAATAAGTACGCCTGCAAATAGTATACAGATAATTATTTATAAAAATATATAAAAACTAGTGTGATGCGTGGCATCGTGCCTTAAGGCAAATTGCTGGAACTTCCCGTACCGTAATTAAAAACTCAAGGTATGAAACTAATGACCATACTGTCGAAAATGTCGAGGACATTTGTTGGAACGATATACTATTAAAAATTAAAAATCTTAGTACGAAACCCCAAAAAATTAACATAAAATGTGAACACATTATTAAAATCTCTATAAAATATCTGATAATTTAATGTGCATACGTCTAATTATCATTTTTGACCGCCAAATGGCTTATTTTATTTTTTTAATAGAACTCTATAACCGCCAGACCCGCTTTCTTAAAAATTTAATTAATTCTTCATCTTGTAAATACAAGTAAAATGTTTTTTGAATTATTAAAATCGGACACGCCGTTCTCTTAAAAACTGAGTTACTGTTTTTGGCACTTTTTAGCTCCGTATCTTCGAAACGGCTAAACCTGCCTTTGCCAAAAACTAATCAGCACGTCTCCTTATCATACAAATCGAATGTTTTTTTAATTATTCAATTCTGTTGATTGGTGTTCTCAAAATCGTCGACGAAAATTTGTATCCGCACACACACACACACATAATGATAAAATAAAAATTTTGTTTTTATTCACAATATAAATTATAGTTATTTATTTTGTAATGAATCTATATATGAACAATTAAGAGCAAGTTCGTTATTATTATTCAATATATATTAATATTAGTTTTAATTATAAATTAAAAAACATAAATTATTACATTTTATTAAATTCCATTAGAGTATAATTACCTTATTGTGATATTGCATCAGTTGTATAATGACTCGAATATCATCGCTATAATTTTTTATCGAAATTACTCTCATAATATTGGCGGCGTCTTCAGCATCCGGATCTTGGCAATATTTATTGGCGAGCACAAGACAAGCATCAGCTTCATGCACCTATTTATTCATTTGATATAAATAACATTTCTGTTAAAATCTTTTAATACATATTTGATATTAAATTGAACTTCCTAATGATACAGAAAAGATTAATGATACTGATGTTCTATTTGCTATAGTATACTTGAAGTTTTGAAAGTTATGAATAATATAGTAGATATGTAATATATAAAAAAATAAAATTATTCAAATCGTACTTAAATTCCTTCGATAATACATATTATGGATTAAGTTATATTTATGAGTGCGTCAACATTTTATTTTAATTCATTAAAAATATAATATATAATTATTACATATACTATCATGCTAATAAACATATGCACTAGTAACTAAGTTGCTATAAATAACTAATTATGATGTCGTGCATGTGACTTTAATATAATTGAAATCTAATTGATTTTGAGTTATCAGTGAACAGCCATTTACACAAATTGTGACAACGGATGAAATAACTTCAATATCATCTATTAGCAATCACTACTAAATTTAAAATGAAAAAAATGGAGCACTAATTTATTCAGGGACTTACCAATGAATTTGAAGGCTAATCTATCTCTGGTTTTGTACTGGTTAATTCGAAACAACTTAGTGCAAGTTAAGTTAACATATACAAATTAAGCGTGGATTTGAAAAATCTATTATACTCCTGAACAAATTTATACCATTTGATAAATGTTCAACATAAAAATTCCACAATGTGGAAAGCGTTCAGATAGTTTTGTGGTACTTTTAGTCAAACCGAGAAGTATCAAGTTGAAATGATATTTCACAGAATTTTATGAAAAAACATTAATTTTTACTTTACATCGAAATGAATTTGTGATTGACAGAAACTAGGGTAGTTAAAACAGTTAACATGTTAATTGAATTTAGACATAAATAATTTGGAGTTGTTGTAATAGTACTAACCTTCACCCTTTGCAAGTCTATGGGGTTCATTATGGTTCCCTGGAAGAACTCTACAGTTGTAAAGTGCCTCTTAAATAAGCCTTCTAGTTCCAGATCTGGAGGTTTCCTAACGGTCACATAAAAAACAACTCAAAAAACATCTATTGAAATAAAATAACAAATTTCACTTATGAATGAATGATGTTGACTTGGCCACAGCTCAGGATACCTTATATCTGCACCACGTATTTGATGAGAAACAACTAGCGAGTTCTGTGATTTTAATTTTACTTAATTTTACATAATTTGACTATTGAAATAACCATACATACACTCGCTGTTTGTTCTAATAAAAATACATTATAACATTAGAAATATAAACGCATGCAACGCAAATACAAGTTTTTTCTAAATAATTTCTTTCGTGAGTCATTTTATGCAGCATTTGCAAAAACATACTTTTAAAAGACTTATAATAACTCACAAAAAGAAAATAGATGTAATAAAAAATTAGATATTAAACGTGCGACATATTCTCTTAATTCACTTGTTGAGATACCATCCTAATAAACCCTGCGTATGACGTGCTCAAAATTTAAAGATACCAAAAAGCATGAAAATGACTAGTAACGATTATCGGCAGTCTACAATTTCTAGTAATTGTTTGCAAGGCAATATACGTAATTTTTTTATGAATATTCTACAAGACATTCCAGTGGCAGCTCCTGGTTTTGTACCTTAACTCTTTCTAAGTCCACTGCGTTCATCATCGTTCCCTGAAAAAACTCCACAGTAGTGTAGTGTCGTTTCAGGAGACCTTCCAACTCTAGATCAGGCTCTTTTCTAATGATATAATTCAAGTAAAATTTATATACACTAATTAAGAATTCGTAACCTATACTGCCATATCATAAAAATAGAATACGTCCAAAAATTTAATGGTTTGTTTGAAACTGTCGAAATTTATATATAAATATTACCTAAAATTGATTATTATATTTGATTATGTAATAATAGCTTACCTGTGTAGGAAAACTACTTCAACATCAACATCCTCTCTATCTTCGTGTAGGAAATCTTTCAGAAAATGTGATACAGACTCATATGTGATGTGGCCGCAAACAACAATATGCCTACATTTGGTTAAATTAATTATTATTTTGTTTTTATTGATTTATTTATTTATGAAACACATAATGCCAAATATAAAAATCAAAACTTCTCTGTCATATCTAAAAAATATTTTCATAAAATGCAACATATGATATGACAGTTAAATTTTTACAAAAACCAACACCAACAATCAATACTAACAAACATGCATTTGTTTCTTGTGTATGCTCGATTATTCAAAAATTATATTGTAGCCTGCTATCTGTATTGTTTCTATTTTAAAGGTCTATATTTGGCGTTTTAATAGCAAAATGTTCGTATTTATTTCAAATAGAATCTGAATAATCGTAAAAGGTCGTGTAGAGTTTCTACAGTATACAATGTTTTGAAAATATCTATTAAAAATTGATGCACTAGCTATTCGGTTCGCATGCACCGAGCTGTGAGTCTCCTAGAGGCTGGTATTGCAAATTCTAAATATGTGGGCTAAAGTCTAAGATGAAAAATATGTGTCAATTTCTATACTTTTAAATTAATAAAGATGAAAAAGCAAAATTGTAAACACATTATATTGAAGAAAACTTTGATAAGCTATCATAAAAAAGCAGACCAACTACGGTCAACTGATAAACAATGTATGATATGTGTGGTTGATTTCGAACATAAAAATAAAATAAAATTCAAATAAAAATTATAAATTCTATTTTAAAGTCTACGACTCACTTGTGCTACCAGTACACCTCAGACGAACAGATTGGCTAAAAAAAGAACTGGTGAGATAGAAAAAAAAAGAATCGATATAAAATAAAAAGAAATAAATATAGGATAAATAAGAATTGGTGTCAGCGTCGCTACGTGACGCGCTCGCCCGTGGGCATAGGGCACATATTTGATGTATATATAGTTTTCATATTAAATGGGACCCTAAGTACACACAGCCTGGCCCGATCTAGCTAGGTGGAAAAACAATGTCATTGACAGGATTTTTTCGGGAAAGGATCGAAATAAATGTAAATCTACTATTATAATAGTGATCGGAACATGCGATGGAGATTGGGGCCGGGGCGACACATAACACGTACTTATATAACGGCTAGATTATATATATAATGTATGTATAATAATATATTATATAGAGAAGAGAGAGACTCGACCTAATAAGAGAAATATCAACACACAAATACGCACACAACATTCACAATCACGTTTACTATTACATGGGATAATATTACAATACACGTATTTATTACGTAGGATAATATAACAATACACTAGGAACGCCTTGGAATGTGTCGTGTGTCACGTCCAAATGCTACACGTTCATCCGATCACAAGGCAACACTGGGTAAAACTGGGGTAGGTAAGTATACATTGTATTGGTGAATTATAAACATAATCATTGCTTTGTGATTCAATAGTGTTGCATTTAACGCTAATATTTTTGTAAATACACTTTACGCAAAATTTATTTCTAATAAAATTACATTACAAAACCAATCAAAATAATTACAATACATATCACAAATAAATTATGTTCAATATAAATAAAGCATCGAATAGTGTGCGCACATCGAAAAAAATATATTTAGGACACATCCCAAGCAACTATATCTAATGAGGAAATGAGGATATTGAAAATTCTACATCACGGATAAATTTGGAAGGAGATGTGATAAGTGCATATGGCGATGGCGATCGTGCGGGATATAGGGTGACTGGTTGCGGCCTGGGAAAGAGGGTGAGCTATGGTTGGCGTGACAATATTTGAAAAAGTGCTCGAAACAAAAGTATAGAATAGTGAAGAGACGCGCCCCCGCTTTCCCAGGCGGCACTTCAACGATCACGACACTTGCACTTGACTTTTCTTATAACATCTCACCTGCGTCCTCGCTCGTTCTTCAGCGTGCCGCCGTACTTCGGCCTAGTTCCGATCAAGTCAATAATCTCTGGGATACAACTAGCGAATATAGCCTAGACGCCGACAAAATGGACAAACAATACACACATGTGTTGACAAAAGCATCCGTTATATGTCATTGGTCCACAATATTGTAAATTATTTATAAATATAATTTTGATCTTACGATTTTTGTGCAAGGTTGTTATTCAACTCTTGCCATTAAACTATATCGTGGGGTTGAATGAGTGGGGCGCGTGGGGGCGGGGCGGAGCTCGGGCCCTGCTGTGTGGCTCTCGGGGCGAAGCGCGCGTTCTACATCTGTTTATTACTCTAACGAACTACTAGAACTAATTAACATAAACTTCAGCTTAACACTACTATTGCTTTGCTATTTGCTTAGTAGACCGGCATGTTAGTTGTTTGGCTGTGTGCGTTTAATAGCGATTATGATTTGGCATACTTATAATTAAATCAAAACTTATAGAGCGCAGTGAATTTCGATGGTTTTGTTATCAGGCGATACAGCGTGCGCGAAATCTACTGAAAAATGCATGCGACTGTAGCCGGTTTACATTCAAGATAAAAATCAAACAAACCAAAATGAACAAAAGGAAAAAATGTACACTATGCAGGCGAATCAAAACGTGAGAATATTAGCGGTGACTGGTTTTCAACTGTACAGAGAGTTTAGCAATTAATTTTCGGGTGCACGAGGATCGAGTATCAGGTAACCGAACCTTCTGCGCACGTCCTTGCTGTATTTGCCACCGTACTTGTTGCGCTGGGCCGCCAGTTCGGTGATCTCTGGAATCCAGCTGGCGAATACGGCCTGATAATGTGACGACGCGGTTTTTTAGCGGAATATGGTAACTGAATGGCGAGTGCGAAATAATTCTGACTTTTGGCTTTCAATGGATTTGTTTGTGAGGGCGGGGAACGGGGGCGCGCAGCCCACTAAACGGTACAGATGATAGACTACAAATGATTGTGGCAGCTTAGAACATAACAAGGTATATTATTGCATTACAAGAATATGCGCTCCGCCCCGAGTCAATGAGCTGGCGCGCACCCCTTCCCCGGCTAACAATGCTCGCATTATGTCTGATAATAATTTTATTAATTTCATCAACTAATTATATCTCAACGCCGAATATAACATATTCAACATTCCAAAAGGTACGATAAATTTTCGAAGTTTTGGTGACGAGAAAACAGCACAATGTGGAGATGTATTTATTAATCTTTGAAATACGATTCCAAATATAATTAGGTTTGCTTTCTCATCACTAAAACCCTATGTAATAGAAGCAAATTACATTCTCTCTTAATTATCTTATTACTATAGGTAAGGATACGAAGGAATGAGACCATAAGGAGTGCAGGATCAGTTAATTTTTAGGCAGTGCTGACGAATTTGGGTATGGTGTAAGATTAAGAAATATTATTTAATTGAATATCATAATAATTAACTGTAGTTTCATAAAATCAAACTATTGCTACAATATTAATTAATGTAGTTCTTGTTAAATACGTTAGAAAAAGCATGGCAAAGCTTTTTTAAATTAGACTAGCCAATTTCTACAAAAAAGTTCTAATGTTTATACTAACATATTACTTCAGTAAAACTATCTAATAAATACTTTTTAAAATTACTTTAAATCAATTATTTTCATTATTTATTACAAATTTAGGATAAATTATATTGTCTGGCTTTCATGAATGATTGATGATGAAAAATATGTCCATCATTAATATTTAAGAAAATTTATAGATATTATCAGCATGAAAATTATAAACAACAAATAATAATTAATAATTTTTTAATGATGTAATAATTCCATCTACACAACTGGGTCTTGTCACGGCTGTGTGTACTTTTGGAAATTGCGCCACGATTTTTTGTCTTAAACGATGCCGACGTATAAATGGTTAATGAGGTACGTAGTTACAGGTTTTGAGTCGATAAACCTTTTCAAAAGAAAAATTCTACAAAAATCAGGTTGGTCAACCGTTTTATATAATACTTAATAGTGATATTAAGTAAAAATCAATAATAAATCTTGGCATTTGAAGTTGATCTAACCCGATTTCTGTAGGTTTTAATGATTCATATTCGATTGGTGCTTATGCAGTTAAAACGAACTAATAAACAAATGGTGTTATCAGTGCAAAATTTTCTAACAGTTAGTGCATCCTATAAACTAACGATAGCAGGCTACAGCATTTATTATGGGTTAATTTAAATAATGCTAAAATTAAACTAGTTGTTAATTTTATACATATTCATGCATCTTCTAATTCAAAATACAATGCAGAAAAGTTAATAAAAAGTTGTTTAGTATATATTAGTTTAATACTTTTCATTTTTATGGCAAATGAAAGCACAATAATCAATTGCATAGATTTATGGTATAGATATTACTATTTTTTTATTAACTTTCATGCATCGTAAAAGTCTAGTTATATTTTATTCTTTAATTCAATATAGACCACATAAGATACAGAGCTAAAATAGAACGCATACACATATGCAATATTGCAGACAAAATTAATTTTCAATTTTAGTAATGACGTGACATTAATATAATTGTGAAAAAATGTATTTTTTATTATGTTAAATAAAATATTTTTTTCGCAATTATATTATAATACCGTCATTATTTTGCCAACAATAATTGCAAATATGCATGAGTAGAAACAGAATACATAAACGACGAACATCAAATAGGCGATAGAGACATCAGAATAGAAGTTAGCTCTTTTACTTATAAAAAATATTATTGTTTTATCAATCGAGTTCATAGTTTACGGTAATATTCAATTTTATATTACAACTGTTTCCCCAAACGATAGTATTGATTGATAAAACAATGATTTATAACACGAAAATACTCTGGATTTTAGTGATTAAAACTTTGATAAATATAATTTGTTTCTCAATCTTAAAACCAAATGATTTTGAAAAAATCATACAATTTATTATTTAATCCATTCCATATTAATTTATATCATCATATCTTTGCTGCAGAAAAGTGCCCATATATTGTTCTGTAATAACACGATCATACGTGCTTTTGATCAAAATATGAATTCATTGTTCAATGTTGATCGAAGTCCAAG